CTGATGACCTCTCCCAGTGGTTTCATGTAGATGTTAAACAGCATGGGGGACAGTATCGAGCCCTGCGGAACCCCATGACATAAATGCCATGGGGCAGAGCAACTGTCCCCCAGCACCACCCTCTGGACACAGTCACCCAGGAAGGAGCAGAACCACCGTAAAACAGTGCCCCCTACTCCCAAACCAGCCAGCCTATCCAGAAGGACACCATGTCGATGTAGAGTCTAAATGTGAGCTGGCCCCTTCTCTTCAAATATGTTGCTGCTTGTGTGAGCAAAGCAATGAGGGAGAGAGGTTAACATATTTCCCTTGTAAACCATGTTGGTGATTCTTGAATGACAGAATGATGGAAAGGGCTTTTGTCTCTAATGATTAAACCTCTTAATATCAAACCCCCATCCTTAGAAAGCATATTCTTGACTTGAAGGGATCATAGTTTGTCAAAGAGTGGTTCTTTTCCACAAAATGTATAGTATATAGCAGTGGTCCCCAACCTTGGGTCTCCAGATGTTATTGGACTACAACTCCCAGAAGCCTTCACCACCACCTCTGCTGGCCAGGATTTCTGGGAGTTGAAGTCCAAGAACATCTGGAGGCCCAAGGTTGAGGATCACTGGTATATAGCACTGAAACTCCTCTGAGAACTTAGGTTTTTTGGCTAAAACTACCAAAATTATAAATGAGAGAATTCCTATTAAATTAGGTGGTGGTGGTGCTAGTGAAAAAGATCCAAAAATACCTTGCACGAGAGTGTATAATCCTTGAACAATGTATCAGAGAATGAAAGAGAGCAGCCTTAAGAGCTTCAGAGACATAGCATGTGCTCCTTGTAGTTTTCACTCTCTATTCAATTTCTTGTAATTCGTTACTTACAAACCCCTGTCATTTACTTCTATTGTGGGAAGTGAGAAGATTGAGAATGAGAGTTTGGGAATGGTGTCAAGTGCTAGAATCTTCAAGGCACAGACTGCAATTTGACCTGATTGAATAACCTAGTCAAATTTCATTTGATTCCCGTGTTAATATTTGGGCTGCCTTTTCCCCATTAACTATCCTAAGTTACTCTGAAACTCTTCTGTGTCTTCTTCAGCAACTGACTTGTAACACTGTTTCAAAAGATGAATCTTAAGCCCCTCTGCACATAGTTCATCTGAAGATAAAGATACATGTCTATTAAAAGTCTGCACCTCTATTTCTGGAAATTCTTTTAAATCCGTTCGTGGCAGAGGGCAAAGTTACACTGGCCTTATAATCTTTATTCTTTATTCCCCCACAAATCTCATTACTGCTTCCTGGGCCAGAGTTGCAACTTCCATTTTTATATTACTGTATTAAAGATTGTAATATTTTAGCTCAAGTAAACAGAACTGAACCCTGCTTCAGTTTGGCAGACAGAAATAAGTTGTCATTTGGTAGTTCTGCAAGGAGTGTGGAAACCTGATGTAAAAGCAAATCCCACATCCAGCAGTGGGATTATGCATACACACACATCAGACAGCCCTGCATGTCCTGGTGTCAGTTCCTTGTGTGGTTGTCTGAATCAAGATTCCTGTCAGGAGAGAGAAATAATTTTTAAAGAACAGTCCTCTCCAGCAGAGTAGGAAGCACAGTGAGACACCATAGAGCAATTCATACATGAGGTTTAGGAGTGTTGTGTTTTCTTTAAGCTAAACCAATTCGGGAAGAGGATAACCCAATGTAGAATTGCCATCCTCTCAGGTCTCTTGAATGGCGAGGCTTTAACCCTGGAACTCTATCCCCTGGCACCAGACCTGATGCTTTTTCAGCATCTGCTAAAACTTTTGTTTTCCCTTGGTGTTGTAGTTTCCAAGGATTTAAGCAACTTAAATCCTGCAAAGTATTCCTGCAAATACTATTTTTTGGGTTTGTTTTTTTTTAATTGCAGTTTGGTTTTTAAACTACATTCTAGCAAGCCACCTTAGAAATATCTGCATTGAAAGGTATGTCATGTGGGTAATTTAATTTATTTTTAATGTACTTTTAATTTTTAATAACTTTTTCCCAGGGACTAATAACTTTGAAAAATAATTTCTGTATCCTCCCTGATCATATTTATCTCACTTTCCCCATCTTTTTTTTGTGCCTGACCACATGTAGTACAGCATACACTGTGCTATGGAGGGAAGCTACCAAGCGCTTTCAAGATGAATTAGAAAGAAATCCTTTTTTAATGTCCACAGTACTTTCTCCTGAACCATTCAGTAATGGTGTGTCCAGCCTTGACTGAGTACTATTTCTAGGTGCTTGGAGTTATGCCCTGTTTTTCTTGTGTAGAAGGCACTGACATTCATCTTCTGCTCTGGGCTAGCCTAAGAGACTGAAAGCAGCAACTGCTGCCTTTTCAGCAGATCAAATGGTTACAGCAGTGTAGACAACTCTACATGTGTCGTAACCCAGACTGTCATAGGGCGCCATCTGGTGATTTTCCTATGACAAAATATTGTCTTTTTAGTACATGTAAATTAGGAACAAAAGTCTTGAGGTAGGATATATTACTCTGCCTCACATTGTTTTGTGCCACTTTAACCAAGGCATATTATGATGTTAGGGTTGTATCAGTAATAAAATTGTAGGAGTACAACAGCAGTTTATGTATTCTTGCGTTAAATTTAGTAATGCTCCATAGACCCTGTTTTCCAATGGAGCAGGAGCTAGTTTAGAGCAACTTATTATTTTAGCAATATTTCATCCAAACGGACCTACAGGAACGTACAAGTGTGGATTCCTGGTCAACAGCAGTGATCACCTCCTCCTGGTGATCACATAACTCCTCTTTTCTTGTATGCTGGGCACATCTTGTTACTTGATGTTGCAAAGGATAGTTGAATGCTGCTCTTTGCCCAGCTATCTGGCATGTATAGAGAACCAAGTGAATGAAAAAAAGACACCACTCAGTGAAAACTGGACTTGGGAAAAAATTGGGAGGAAGTGAAGCATATGCCCAGTGTTTCTTGGTGAGAAACAGGCTCCGACTCATGTCCAAAGCCTGATTTAAATCAAGACCTTGATTTCTTTCACAATCTCAGCCATCCTTAGATGAAATAACTGGAAAATACACAGCCAATGTTATTTCCTTCCCTATTGTGCATGGTGCATTTACACATCTGGAGCCGTGTCTGCTTAGGCAATGATACATAGAACTTTTTAAGAAGCTTGTACTGAATGTGGCTGAGCTTTTCCAATTTCATTGCATGAAACAGCCTTTCAAGAGAAGGTGGGCAAAGGATTCCATGTACTTTAGACTCCACAGGTATTATCCCAAGGTAAAAGAATATGCATGGTGATTATAAAAACAGTAATGCATCATTCCATACAAAATAGTTTCACCAGCTGATCTTTTGTTTCCTCCATTTCCCCTTATAAAGATTATTATAGTCCAGAAATGATGGGTCTTAAAACAGATCAAGAAGTTCTTGGAGAGCTTGTGAAAATGAAGATTCCAGCTGTGGCAGAATTAATGGAGAAACATGGCATCATGTGGACCTTGGTGGTATCCCGCTGGTTTATATGTTTATTTATTGACATTCTTCCAGTAGAGGCAAGTGAGAATTTTATTATCTTTTTAGCTTTGTGTTTGTATTGCAGACAATTATCCAACTTCTAGAGCACAGGCTACATGCTCTGGCCATGCCTAATCAAAGGTCCTCCTTCTTCCACAGACAGTACTTCGAATTTGGGACTGCTTGTTTTACGAGGGATCAAAAATAATTTTTCGTGTGGCCTTAACATTAATTAAGCAACACCAAGCTTTCATTTTGGAAGCCACTAACTTCCCAGATATCTGTGACAAATTTAAACAGATCACCAAAGGACCCTTTGTAACAGACTGTCACAATTTCATGCAGGTAGGTATCTTTTCTAGTAAACCATAAACAGCTGTGGATGGTGGCAGCCTTCAAAGTGTTTTGCACAACCATTCAGAGTACTGCATTAGAAAGCTTTCATACAATATATTTCAACAGTGGGCTAAATCTAGATGAAGTGGGCAGAATTCTACACATAGGGCATTCTACTGAAGGAAGTGAGGATTGTGTTTTTCTTAAAAGCTGCTCTGGAGGATTAGGGAGCCCTCCAGAACAGTGTGGGATGCGATAGCAGAACTGTGAAAATCACATTTTCCTTCGTCCACTGAGAAACACCAGAGGATGTCTTTTCTTTGAATGAAAGGAGTCCTCCTGTTCATGGGAGGCACATCTAGAGCCACTACACTGAATGTCAGAACTCCATTTCTCTACCCAAGAAAAACATGAATGACAGTATTCAAGGATGGGTAAAAGAATTGTCTTACAAAAGAATGACAGTTAATGGAAATGATTTGCTTAGTGCTGCTTAGTCCTTTGCTAATATTCTATTTCCCATCCAGAATCTCACACAGACAGTGGTTGGATGGAACATTTCATGACACAAAAGGCACCATGAAGAATCAATTGAGATTTAGATTAATGGAGGGTATTTATCTTAGGGGTTGGTGTGCATGGCTGTGGAGCCAGAAGACAGGGAGTTCAGAGCCTCACTCTGCCTCTATGAGGAGACGCTAGCCAATAGCAGATGGGGGCTACATGGCCTGCCACTTACGTGGCCTTGAGCAAGTTGCATGGTCCAAGAATGCCACTAGGAGAGACAGGCAAAGCACTTCTGAGTATTTTATAGATCAAAAACCCTGGCAGGATCACCTTAAGTCAGAATCAACTTGACAGCATTATTATTAGAATTTACTGCAATATTTGTCTTGCTTTTCCTCCAGTGACCTGGAAGGATCATCTTAATCTCATGATTTTAAAATGTTTGGCCCAACCCTAGCCTGTGTTTCCGATATACTCTGTTCACTGTCTTCTAGCCTGGGACGGAACGTCCCATGTGTAAGAGCTGTACAGTGGGAAGGATCATCTTAATCTCATGATTTTAACATGTTTGCCCCAACCCTAGCCTGCTTTTCCGATATACTCTGTTCACTGTCTAGCCTGAGACGGAATGTCCCATGTGTATGAGTTGTACAGTAACCTCTTTCCATCTAGTCCCTACAAGGATTCTATTTACTTTAATTTTGATCAGTTTGTGCTTCTGCATGCTATGGCATGTCATATCATGCTAGGGTTTCTGAGGAGGGTGGGTAGGGCCAGACTGCAAAGTTATTGTAGAACTTTTGCTAGTTCAAATCAAAGTCCCATTGAATCCAATGTGCGGCTAACCTGGTGAACTGGAGTACAAAAGTATCCTACCACTGGACATGGAGGTTCTGATCATCTATGCTGGTAATGATCAACTTCAGTCATACTTTACCATTAAGTGTGCTGCTTAGATCCCATGAGGTTTGAAATCAGGAAAGACTGCATGCTCTCCAGTTCCTGCTATAAAGGCTATCAGTGCTGGATAAATCTTATTTCAAAACCAGCTGTTATAAAATGACTGCCAACTATATCTTCTGGCAGCTTACTTGAAAATAAGTAATTGTGAAGGGATACCAAAATATATTTTTAAAAAGCTCATATATTGTAATTTTTCATTATTTGTATGATTAGACATTAGCATTGCATCTTATGAGTACACAACTGAAACTTAAGATTGAAACATTTCATGTAAATCTAGAGGCATTTTCTGTATGCATTACTAATAAGAAATCCTGACTATATGGAATACAGTGAAGATGTGTGCATGTGTGGTTTCGCGCCTACCTCTTCCACTATTCCACGAGTGTGAAATATTCCATACTAATGGAGAAAGGTTTGTTTATGGGCATAACAACTTTGTGGCTGAACAGTGATTTTTAAATGCAAAAATGTAGGTGTCTCTGCTATTTCCTGTTCTATCCATTAAAGAACACTGACCTCCCTTGTCTTCATTCTGGTTTGTATTAACAGGATTTTATTTTATTTTATTCTAGAAAATATTTACAGAGCCTGGAAGTTTGAGCATGGCTACAATAGACAAACTGCGAGAAACCTGTAGAGCAAATCAAATTGCTCAGAGATAAATGGACAAATGTAAGACAGTATGCTGCAAAACTGGGTACATTCCTTCACATAAATGCACTGATGCACAATTTTTGCAGTTTCTACTACAGTTAACACTTGACCAATTCTCCCCAGCCTTTCATGTAAGTGCTCAATCCGATAACCTGACTTTTTTTTGTAAAAAAAGAAAAGCAATGCATACCTTAATTATGATGTGAATAAAATGTAATTACTATCACATTATTTTTTTAAAAAAACTAGGGTACTATTTAGGGCAGTCTGTAATTTAAGTCCAGAGTTACATAAGTCTCCTTATACAAAATAAATTATATTCGTTAGAAAATGAGAAATTCAAATACAATAAATAGGTACAGACTGACTCCTGCTTAGCTAGCTGAGCAAGTGGAATATTATCTCCCTACTCTTAAAGATTCTTTGAAAACAATACAGTAGCTTTTCTAAAAAATACCACATTGAGCTGTTTTAGAAGGCAGGAGCATTCACTGTATGCACCTCTCTCTGAAGGACCTGGAGGGGATGGATGATTAGAGCTGATCATTAAAGCAAGAAAGCCCTGTGGGAAGAGGCTGGATAATGATACAAGATTTACAGAGTTTTCATCCTGTGGAGTAAGGCATCTACTGTTAAATTACTGTTGAAGATTTGACCTTTTCCAACTAGCTGTGTAGTAGACGAACTGCCATGTGGATTATGTGGAGAAAAATCAAGTACAATCTGTTTTAAAGACTGCAGTCCCAACAAAAAGTTTTGACTACAAAGTTAATAGTATCTGAAGTATTAAAGTTTGAAATCATTCTGAAGTGAGCCATAAACTGGTAATAAATCAACATTCTGCAACATATAGACCAAACTCATCCCCTTAGAAATATAGGCTGTAGACTAAATATCCCAACCAGCACCTCTGCAATTGCTTAACAGAAAACTAAAAAAATATACAGAAAAGTCTTTATTAGCACTGTTACAGGCAATGCATCCATAACTGATCCTTGCAGTGTACAGTCCCAGCCAAAGTCAAAGCAAGAATTAGCAGATTGAAGTCTATTGTACACATGTGCGAAACAGGATCTCCTCTGAACCTCCAACAGAAGAAGAGACTGAAATTCACTTTACAAAAAATAAAGTAACACCCATTTTTATGTAAAAAAGGGCCAGCTCCTACCAAGTTGACAAACCAAAAATATCTTAAGAGTTGGCCAAACCATCATCCTCACACCTTGTACATACCAGGGTTAACATTTAAAACATAATGACACATACCTAAGTAGGAACAAAGTGGGAATAACTGGGTTTGACTGGTCAGTCATTGCTCTTTTTTTGCTGCATTTAGTGCAGTAGATGAGTTTATCACAGGTTGGTAGTACCAGAAAGTGGAAGTTTCCCTTTGTTAGATATAATTAATCTGAATTTAAGTGAATGAATGTGAATTAACTATATCACACTCATTTAAGAACTTGACATTAAAAACCATGCCAATTCAGAAAAGCATTCTTAAAACTTCAGCCTGTTTCTAGGTGGGTGAATACTTAACCCATTAGCAAATTAAACAGAATTATAGAAGTTATCCTTTGTGCATAGTTAAATGCCACGAGATGGATTTCACATTTAGTAAAGCAGACATTGCAAGAAACAATTGGTAAGGAAAAGATTGTGCTCCCTCATATCAATCTATCTGAGGGGATAAAGGGAATGGGGAAGGGGAAATCAATGTATCTGCTTCTTGCAACTGCTGTACTTCCATACTGGTTTAATTAAGTGCAAGTCTTAAATTGTTTGATAGCCTGCATGACTACGTTTTCTACCAATTAAATATGCAATCAAAACTATAAGAACAAGTCCAGCAAGGGCTGCACCAACTATGATAGGGATCAACATGTTGTTTTCATCCAGCTGACATTCTTCCACTGAAAAGAAATAAAAAGTTTTAATTCTTTAGTAGTAGAAAACTCAAAGAAACAATAATCATACCAGGACTTAGTTTACTGTATTTTACAGCCCCCCAAAAGTGAACCTATAGTGCTAGAAATGGGCACATAGGAAGTCATATGGAGCCTGTTTGCAAAAATGTAGCCATATTAATCCATCTCAGCATGCTGGCAAAATTAAAGTGAGAGAGAGTGAACAAAATTCGGTGGTGCTTTAAAGACAAACAGATGTATTGCAGTGTGAGCATGTGTGGATCAAAACCTACTTTTTCAGACACATAGATCTGCAATTCTGTGGTGGTTAAAGAAGTAGATTTAGATCCAGAAAAGAGGAAGCTCTACTGAATATTACGAACATGCAATTATCTAATCAATAATAAAGAACAAGAGAATACACATTACAGTGGTCACCCAAAGGAGTGTTAGACCTTTAATAGATCAATACAAAATTACAAACAGAAGTCAGCTTTTGATCCACACAGGTCTTCCTCAGGCTGGGCACCACAGCTGTGCATGATGCAGAAAAAACAAGCTCCAAATATCATGTCTGTATGTGCAAGACAGGCTAAGCAAATATCACCATTGGTTTCAGATTCTACTTCTGGTGGAGTGAATCTGAATGTCCTGCTGAAGCATCTTGATTTTTGGATCTTTTGTCTCTTCTGTATCATGCGCAGCTGTGGTGCCCAGTGGATAAAAAGCTATCTTATATTTGTAATCTTTTACTAGTCTAATAAAGGTTATCATCCAACTTTGGCTTTGAATTGTGCACAAGCACCACACATATTTTAATTTTTTGTTCCTTCAGATCAGTTAACATTTCGTAATTATTGTTTGCCAAAATTAGAGGGTGAATGACCATACATCATGTCACATTAATTGCCTCTCAATACATCTGCATACATCTCACCTGATCCAAACTTGTCTCCTGGGATCTTGAAGGCCTGGACCTGAACATTGAATATGTTGACAGAAGCATTTTCTGAGATCCAGACATTCTCTTCTGCAACACACCTGTAAGATTTCCCAATTGTGGCTTTCAGGGCACTCAGACTATTGTTGCCAGCAGAAATCTTATTTCCTGCATTTAAAAAACATGAACAAGATTATGTTACTAAACACTGGCAGTTTGTAAGTTCAGAAGCATATTTCATAAAAACTGGCTCAGAGCAAGTAGAGGCAGCTCAGGCACACACACTCATATCTTTATTTCACTGATAGTGGGTTGGGGGCAAAGTGAAGAGAAACAGGCCAGATGTTTGTATCAATCCTGCTTCTGACTTATTGCAAGCCACCCCTTTCCAACATCAGGTAAGAAGTATAGAGGTTTCTACAGGGGTTGGGGAACATTCCAAGGCCAGACTTCTCTCTCCTCCCTCAAACGGGCCACTTTCCCAATGACCACATGGTTGCACATTATGATGTTCTGAAAAATGATAAATCTCACCTTTAGCTTCAGAAGGCAGACTTGTATTCATACTGAGGCCTTGGAGAAAATATTTGTCAGTACTTGCATTCTTTAAAAGAAAGAAATTAAATTTGAATTGTTCATCAGTGTCAGATTTCTTTCTAAACACTGCTCTATTGATATTGCAAAGCAATCATTTAATGATCAAAGTATTGCATAGTTGTTGAGGTTTTGAAGAAACGCTATATGGATGATGCCCTAAAAGGAAGAAGGTAGCTGGAAGGTCCAGATTCTCAGACTGAAGGTAAACTTCTATATGGTTGTTGACATTCAACAATTCCTACACAATGCTACAGAAATAGAGGCTTTGGTTTGGAGTTCCAAGATGTGAATAAACTCTGTTTTTCCCTCTTTAAAGCAGGTATCTGAACTTTATAGTGTGACCATGTATGAACAATTCCTAACACAATGGTGCTCGGGGCTAGGATTTCTAGTGGGGATGGCTTTTGTGCCCCATGTTTTTCCTGAGCAGAATTATGCACATAAACAAATGTTCATTTGCGTAACTTACATGACCAAATACTACTTTCACTGGCAGATGCTTAGTACAAACCACAGTGCTCTGTAAAGCACCATGGACAGCAACTATACTGCAAAAATAGTGGAAACAACTGCCATCTTGGGCATGACTTAACAATTCTGCAAAATGCTATGTCAAATGCTGCTTACCTGAACAAACTGGAAACGAAGGCTGGTGCTCCCAGAAATCAAATTTAGAGTGACTGTGTTATTGTCACAACTCCCAGAGTAAGATGGATTTTGTGGAAAATTAAACACCTGTGAGTTAATAGTCTTTGAGGGGGAAAAAACAAGTTACAATTACAAGGAAAAAGACACAGGCTCCTATTGGAGGCAAAATATGGACATTTTCAACACAACCTTCATCTGAACAACTATATCATAAGTGTGGCACAAGGAGCCCCCCCCCCGTCCCTTTTTAGCTGATCAACAGGGCACTGCCAATCAACACTATGGTTTGCCCTCTGATAATGACAACCCTGATCAAAATCCTGTATATGCCTTCAGCGTTCCCCCAACCACTGCCATAAACAGACATGTGTATATTAATAAGGAGAAGAACATTATTCCTAGTCACATTCATCACTAAGGCCCTTGGGGGGGGGTTCGAGAGCCACTCCTCATGCAGTTAATTACTCAAAAATGTTTGCACAATTCTAAACTACGGAGCACTCGATAAAATGGAAATGCTACTTTCACAACCAGAGTAGACACCACATCATGTGTGTACTCTGACATAGCTATAGTACTGGATTTTAATAGGCCCATGAGTGCTAGACATAGGTACTTTGGCCTAACTTTTGAAATCCCTCCAACTAAATGCTCCTGCTTCTAAGATGACTTGAGGCAGACATTGTTTGCACAAACTCCTCTTGGGCCCAAGCCACCTCAAATTTGTGTTGGGCTCAAGTTAGATCCCTGAATTTCCATCCCTCTACCCAATAGATCTTGTTTTCTGAGGCATTCAACATAGATGGGTGCAGGCAGATCAAACCAACTCTTAACCTTCACCCAAGCAGGTTCTGGTTATATGTACCAGGTCCTCGTATTCAACCAGGAGTAAGTCTTGGATCATACACTCCTCCCTGTAATTTGTCAGACACTATTTAGTCACAATGCTTTATGATCGGGCATGCGTCCACTGGAGAAAACTAAGGAGGCACCATGCTGGATGTTGAAGTGGGAGGAGAAATGGCTCCAAGAGAACTTTTCTCCCTTCCTTTCCACTGGCCTCTGTGCATGTGTATGCACAGCTGATTCTTATGAAATAAGCAAAATTAGGACTGTACCTCATTTTTTGTACTATATGTGATATTAACTTGCAGACCCATAGAAGCCAGCAAACATATCCCATGAGAGCCAGATACATTGTAATGTCCAACATCTGGGTCTTTTGTAGATGGGGATGGTGCTAGACTGGTAGTTGTAGGTATATGGGAAGTTGTTGCAGGAGGAACAGTAGTAGCTCTATCTTCAAAACAGATGGTTTCTGAAAGGCAACAGTGACAAATCAAAGAAATGAAAAGTAGCAAAAGCCTATCTCACTTGTCTCTGATTATGAACTCAGGACGTTCTCACTTCAATTACTATAAGCAGGCAGGCAAGAAACTTGTAAAACTAATATTTGGTACAATTACAATTTCATTTTTGTTCTTTGGTACAGCAGCCAGCCAGGAAAGTACATGGATACTAAGAGTTGCTTAGAAAAATATACTTAATTGATTTTTTAAAAAAAAACCAAAAAAACATATTTTATTGTTGTGAGCCATTGTATCCTAACCCTCCCCCCCCCCAGATATCTGGATCCTTAGCAAGACAGACATTTGTTTCCTGATGTCATGAGAAAAGGCCATATATTACATTTCAGTTTATTTCCCTCTACGATATCAATGCAATGGATCATTCCAAACGGCATGTCTCCTTTCTCTCTAGGAAACACTTTTTCTCTGGGAAACTGAATTCTGTATGGCTTAATCCATCCTGAAAGGGACGTGGTGGCGCTGCGGGCTAAACCGCAGAAGCCTGTGCTGCAGGGTCAGAAGACCAGCAGTCATAAGATTGAATCCACGCGACGGAGTGAGCTCCCGTCGCTTGTCCCAGCTCCTGCCAACCTAGCGGTTCGAAAGCATGCAAATGCGAGTAGATAAATAGGGACCACCTCAGTGGGAAGGTAACAGCGTTTCGTGTCTAAGTCGCACTGGTCATGTAACCACGGAAGATTGTCTTCGGACAAAACGCTGGCTCTCTGGCTTGGAAACAGGGATGAGCACCGCCCCCTAGAGTCGAACACGACTGGACAAGAATTGTCAAGGGGAACCTTTACCTTTTAATCCATCCTAGTTAAATTCAGTTACTGCCCAGAAGAGAGACCTATAAGGAATTTACCCAATCCTTCTATTGTGTTGCTTTCAAGAAGCAGACTGCCTACCCCCACAGCAACTTTTTTTATTTAAAGCTGCAGTCTGAAAAATAAGGTGCAATGAAAGTGGCAGTAGGCAAAGATATAGAAGGACAACAAAACCTTAACAGCCTCTCTCCTTCGCCCACTGTGACTGCTCTATAGGATCATATGATGGGGAGGATCACATGGAGCTTTAACTCTCCCTTCTAATCCCTCCCTTCATTGCTTAGCTGAGCTGAGAGGAAGAAGGATGTGGAAGACAAAGGCGTGGGTAGGCTGCAAGTTACACAGAAAGGCTCTGCACCTCAGCTCTTCCCTTTCGCCGTCTTAAGTATAAGCATAAGTTACCAGTCAATCAAACCAAGAACAAGCTACTGGTCAGTAGAAGCAGATACTTATCCAGCATAAACTAATCTGAAATTGCCAAGCAGGATGTGCCTAGTTTTATTAAGGAAGATCTGTCTTGATAAAATTGTCTTTGAAGTGAAGAGGCTCACCGTTTCCACTGAAAGTGTTACGTGTAAGGTATGCTTCAAGGGTAACATTGCTGAACAGAACAGTCACATTTGCCATGCTTATTGTATTCTTGTTGAGACATCTGTATCTTGTATTTAAGGCTGCTTTAATATCAGTTGCATTACTTGCTTCTTTTTCTCCTGTAGTCCAAAATGCACAATTGTTTAAGAGTGAGTAAGTGACATTCATCAGACAATTTTGCACATATGGAGAATCAAACCATATAGTACAACAGCATAACCAGAATTTGCAAATCTTCAAAGCGATACCTACCTCCAGTCGCATTTGGGAAAACACTGGTATCTGACAAGTTGTAGCTGAATTTCAAAGTACTGACAGCATAGGAACTACTAGTTTTTTCGAACGTCAAAAGTATCGAGTGCCCATGGCCAAAGCCTACTGCAAGGATTTGTGAGACTTCTTTCCCTTTGCCGCAGCTGCTCTCATTTTTCAGTACATGAGCATCAGATGGAAGTGAGATGGTCTGGGTCTAATAAATATCAAAGCAGTAACACTATTATAATATGCATCAAATTAAACCACACAGCAGCTTCTAATACTGCCCCCCCGGCAGTATTGCCTTCCTATGAAGCCTTGTCAAGAACTGGTACTTGTGTGCTATATGCACACATATCAGGGCTGGCCCTACAGATATCATTTGACTCCAACTTCTAGTGACCCTTGCCAGCTAATGAGGAACAGTGGGAGTTACAATTCAGTAACACTGGGATAGCTGCATTTTGCCCACCCAAATATGGATACTACTTCTTTGATTTTCAATCATGTGTCCCTTACCGTGCATCCTCAGGGCTAAGTACACACCATTCTCCTTACCAGACTATCGTGATACCTGCAAACATTCATCATCTAATTTGCTGCTAATTTAAACCCAAGTCTATTCACCACAGAAACCCACCCGTGTCCATCTTAGCAATGAAACAATGCTTGAGCTTCCATTTTCACACGTACAACATCTGTATTTAATTTGTACAATTCCGCCATCATGAAACAGTACCAAATTCCCAAGTGGATTTTGGTACAAGTGAAATCATTTGACACTTTCATCGCACAGATACATCCAGTTGAGAAGGCACTGAGTGTATTACTCCTAAGACTAACTACAGCATCCTAGGTTTGACAAAACTTCCATACAAATCTCTTATCAGTTGCTGTTTCAGTACAGATTACTATAGTACAAAAGAAAATGTGACACTGCTATTGTAATCAATTTAATACTGTCAAACTATACCAAGGATACTGCACAGATTAAGTCATGGTTAAGTCACATCCAATGCTGTCACCACTCCAACCACTGGAACCCATTCTCTCCATTACATCTTAATTATTTGCCTGCAGGATTAGGAGGGCTCAAGACTGGGAAAGGACAATCTAAAATCTGTCTTCCTCCACCGATATTGGGTGAACATAATCTTTGAATGTAACATAACTATGATTATTACAGGGAAAGAACAGAGGACTTTCCGCCCTATTACTTCAAGATATGTATTCCTTGTAGGTTATTTCAACAAAGGTCAAAGAGTAAAATTGTGATGGTCTCGTATATACTGCATCTGGAAGTAACTCAAGAAATATTCCAAAATACATGAAGCAATGCCACACTGATTAAAATGTTTTAACTACAACTAGAAAGATTCAGGTTCAAATTTGCATTCAACAACATAGCACATTTTGTGACTGTAAGTCCTGTCATCTTCTTTCCAGCCCAACCATTCTCACAAGGTTGGTGGAAGATAATACAATCTTAAACTCTATGCAGGAAAGACAAGATATAATCAGAGCATGGAAAAGTTTCTGTTTAGACTAAAACTCTCAGAATCTTCCAGACAATATGGCTGGCAGGCATGCTGATCTGCGTATTCTTGGATTTGTAGCCTAAGAAGTAACTTTTCCAGGCTCTGAAGAATACTATCGATTGTGAAACTATTTGTGATGACATTAGAACATTCTGCTCCCCTCCGATAGTAGAGCTGAGAAATGCCAACATGTTTAATATTTGTCCTTAGCATTTGGATTAGAGCAACTTTGTAGCTAAATGCCTACAATTGATACCACAGACTGTTATCAGTCAATCTAAACCTTATCAACTTCATAGTTACAAAAGAAGGCACCTGACCAAACATTAGCATTTCCTGTACTAGTTTATTTCATTACATGATTTGTCTTACCTTTTGTAATAAACTTTGAGGTCACTCAAGATGTGATTTTTTTTTGTAGAAGCATGCACTTAGAGAATTACTGAATCGTAACAGCATTACTCAGACATTCTAAAGAAGGTTTACTAGTGTGCTAACTCTATACCTGTAAAAAGCAGTGAGCCTCCTGTAAGTGTGAAGTTTCTCTACACATTTCTGAACTCCGATTTTCAAGTATTGAAGTACTGTGGAGAACTTCAATGCAAAGACCATGCTACCTAGACTCATCATCTTCACTTTATGAAAAAAAGGGATGAGGATATCACATTCTCTTCCTCACTGTGAGGCCCCCAAGATGGAGGCCTTGGTAGGAGTGCCGTCGCTCCCGTCGAGGGCCCAACACACTCAAACATCCCCACCTCCTACACCACCGCGTCGGGAAGAGAAGGGAGTGGAGACCCCTGATTGGGGTAAAGAAATCTCAGAACCCCCTACGAAGAATAAAGGGGTAGATACCAGTGACCTGGTACCAGTCGTGAAAGAGTTAAGCCTGGCCCCTGGACCTGGGGGAACTTTGGCGGGAAGGAGGGGAGAGGAGATTGAAGCGGTGGTAGCCGATATAAGGGGAAAGAGGGAAGAGATACCAGGCGGTTGGGAATGGATCTGGATGGAGGACCATGGACCCACAAGTGGGAACAGGTGCGGGTCCCACACGAGGAGGCTGAGAAGAGAAGGCAGCTAGGGCTTAAGCCTCGTCCCTTGTATTGGGGAGAAACGGAGACCAAGGAGTGGAGACGGAAGCTAAGGGAGGAGCGAGAGGCGGGTGCCCGTGAGTTAGAGAGGAAGAAGGCATGGCATATAGCCGAATTGCAGAAGTTGGGGGGTTTCCCGGGCCATGGATGGCCGTCGATGGAGAAGGGGCGTCTTGGGGGGACTGGAGCGGGGATGAAGAAACTATTCCCTTGATTATGCTGGAAGAATAACTGAACCCCATTCCTGGTGCTGTGAAGCCTTTAACAGGACCATGGAACTTGGAGAACACTAACCCGTTTATAAACAGTTTATGGACACCTTTGAAGCCAAGTGCAGAGTTGCAAGAGACTTTGAATCCCTTTTTGAACCCCCTTCCCCCCAATGTTGATGTTGCAATAAATATAGAACCGTTTGACTTGGTACCACCATCTCGTCCTTTATTGGAGGTACCGACAGCCCCAGAAACCAACCCTTCACACTCACGTGTTTAGTTAACCCTTTTATCATATGTCTAAATATGGCTAGTATAGTAGGATCCCCTTATCCACGGGATCAGAATCCACTGATTCACTTATCCATGGTCTGAAAATAATAAAATTAAAAGGAAAAAAATCCAGAAAACTATTTTCACATGTATTACCAGAACCGGACACTAGATAGAGCCAAGGACAGTGATATGTATACTGTTATACTGGTAATGCATGTGAAAACTGCACATGGGGGGCCCGCTATTGTATACAAAAAGGCTTAACATATGCATACACATACACACATTTCTGAGAGCCAGCATTAACTGCACTTTCCCATCCAATGTGTCCAGATTCATTACTAATAAAAGATCAGTTTTAAAAGATCAGTTCTGAATGTGAATCAAATGGCTCCACATTCAGCAGCGCATTGTACTGAGTCTGTGACACAATGGTGAATAGTATCTTAGAACTTTCACGTCTTTGTAGACAGCTTTCTGGTCTTGCAGTAAGCTGAATTTCAGCAAACTCACCTCACTTTTAGTACTTGTACTGTATTCCACTATGAACTGAACAGAGAAGTTGGCTAATATGCATGTCTTTCCGCTGTCATCTATTACTTCAAATGTTGAAGATGCTTGTAAAAACCCTGTGAACAAAAAACAAATTATCAAGTAGCATATTGTTAATATGCAGTTTTAAGGAAAACAGGGTTTTCTGGCAAGAATGATGTCTAGAAACAGAACAAGTGATTTAAAAAATAACTGAACATTCTAAACAACCATGAGAATCGGATCTGGATTATATACTTCAACACTTGCTGTAAAACTGTCCATCGTATCCATTGTGGTTTTACTTTTATCAAGATCTCTTGATAACATGCTGACAGAAAAGTGTGTTATAAAACTGCTCAACACTGTTAAACTTACAACACGACATAAGCAAACATGTTTCATCTGAACATGGAAGTACTTTTTGTATGAAAAGATTATCAATAGGAAAAAAATAAATAAACACAATACCTAAATGTTTATTTTTTCACTTTCCAGAAATTAGTGTGGATACAGAAAACCCTGTTCCGCAAAGGCATAGGTGTCATCTCTGTATTCTACCTCTGGCAGGGGCTTTCAAAAGCAAACATGCAGGGTTTTGTTCCAACAGCTTTTTTAAAACCAAGTTTCTGCACCATACACTGTCATCAAAGACAATTGCACAAAGCTGTACAACCTAATAATTTATTCAGATTTATCAATAATTAGGATCTGTGAAAAGGACAATTCAAGCTTCTGGATTTAAAAACTCCACAGAGCTTTAAAATATGGTTAATCATGCAATAGGCTAACCTAGAGAGGGAAAAACCAAGAAACCTTAAATGGATGGAGAATCCTATTCTGTGGATGAACATGAAACATCTACCACATAATATAACCTCTCCCCAATAGTGTGGCCTCCTTTGATACAGAACTTCAAAACCTAGAAGCAACCACCCTTTTGAATGTACCTATTAGTACAGTGGTGCCTCGCTTAACGATTACCTCGTTAAATGTTTGTTTCCCCAATTTGCCTCCTTGATAAGGGCTGGAATCAATGATCCCTAGGGTCCCTTCCAGCTCTGCAATTCTAAAGATTATGATGATGACCATCATTCCCACATAAAACAGAGATGGAATATATGGTCTGGAAGATAGTATGTTTAGATCTAAACATGTCACATTCTTATTTACTAAAGTCACATTAAAGGCATTCTGAGAGGTACAGCCACATTTTTATCCCAGGAACCTGAGAGCTGTGCCAGACCTGGAAATGGTCAAAAGTAAAAAAGAACAAAACAGGAAGTGGCTGAATGACCATTTCTGTTTTTTTTCCCCTGGCCTTGAATTTATTTCATATGGGGGGTAGTGGTGCTGCAATTCTGCCATGCTAAACCAGCTGCCCCTAGATGCATGCAGAATCAGAATAACTAATTGCTCCATTTGTATCTGTTTTTAGTATCTTTGGGGGCTTGAGGGAGCTACAAAAATGGCTGGGAGGGGAGACTATATGAAAATTGCTTGTGACACTTTGCACACCACTGGTGTAAATGTTTAACTAGGCAAAGAAAAGAGCTAAAGAATAAGATCCTAGACTCCAATATCTAAAAACTGTAACATACAACATACAGTATTATGCCAATATGGGTATGTATATTTGCCATGGTGCCATTCACACCTTTAATGCAGTGGGCATGAAAAGAGTAACAAAGACAGCTCTGTGCCAATCAGGACAATTTTTCTCTCCATGCACAGAGTGCCACTCTTAGGATAGCAAGATGGCAGCTTTGGGGTTTAAGCACTGAGAATGTAACATCTAGCAGCTGCAGGAGGAAGCTAATAGAGCTGTAGATTTGATTTAAATAAAAATTGGGTTAAAAAAGATTTATATTTTAAAAATCATTTTTGATTTTAATCATGTTTTAAATCAATTTGATTTCTTAAAAAACATTGATTTTTTTCAATCCTGCTTTCCAGTTAGTTTGACAGTAATACATTTAATTACATATCTTAGAACTGAAAAGTTCACAGCTACAATATCGCATATCAAGACAAGGCAGTACAACTTCCTGCCAAACAGCTGCTCCAGCCTAAATTTCATGCTGGGTCAGCTCTTTAATCAAAAGCACCTTTTCCTGAGTAAGCAATTCTGTTTCATGGACAAACACACAGCACAATTTTTAATAAAAAGTTATCTGTAACCTTTATGTTTCTATGTGTAACAAGCTGATAGAAAGAAGTTAGGATCCAGTACTTATATTCTAATCTATTCCCATCATATTTGTAAAGTGCCTTTCTGGAAACACTTGGGCAAATATAAAAGTGAACAACACTTCACAGACAATATTTATCAGAAATTTTCATTGTTTTTCATCTGATTAAATGCTGTTTAGTATTTTCCAACCAGAAATGAGGTGATCCCGATTTTTCACCATGTCTGTGTCACAAATGCAAAAACTGACAGCCAATCCTATTGGCAAGAGGTTAACTTGCATGTAAGAAGTTCAAAATTAACACTATCGGCCCCAAACATAATGCAACTGTACAATTTTGAAAAGCTGAACTAAGATGTCTACTAGTTTGTCAGAAAGATAACACCTGTATGTTGCCCATTGTGGACAAAAAAAAATAATCACTGCTTTTTGTGCCGGGGGACAAGTTTGCTATGGAGCAGGCTGCCAATATACCCTGTATTAAAAAGGATAAAGGTCTATCTGTTTTACTGCCTCTACTAAGACACATAAACACGTATTATCTTTTTTACTACCCTTGTTTATCTCCTCTATTTGCTTTTAGTAAACTATGCAAGGTTTAGTATATCTATAAGATTTACCATCCTTGCCGTTAGCTGCTTGTGGGCACGTGCATATAGATTTCTCAACACTTGGGCTTCATTTCAGCAAATGTGTGCAAGCAAAATCTCTACTTATCTGCAACAGTAAAAATCACTGGTCTTCAAGTTACTCTTCAAATTTAATCTGCCAGTGTTAGCAACCAGAGTAACTAGCCATTAATTTCTAAAACCAGTGTTGCCACAATAGCCTGCCTGGAGCCAGTCCACTGTTACATACAACACATGTGCTATAGCCTGCTGTGTGCTACCATTTTATCAGGTAGCTTTAAAAACTCTGTTAAGTGATTTCTTCTGGGCAGAAGTGCACAGAGTCCACAAAATTTTGGCCATGTAGGCTGTGAATGCTTATATAAGAAACCTGAAACAACACATTTGTTAACAAATTAAGGAGAAACTGATAATCCTCGAGTCTCAAATCTTTTTCATCTAAAAGCCTCAAGTATTAACTGAGCACTAGTATGATTCAAGAGGCCTGGGAACAGATTAAGAATCCCAGAAAATGTAGGATTCAATGGCTATTGGGGGAAACTGTTGCAGCAGTTTCCTAGGCAAGTGCCTATCATCACTTGTCCTTTTTAGAGGCAAACCCCACCTATTTTGGGTGCAATACAAGACCACAAAAGGAAAACTGACAAATACTGTAGCATTGGGGCAAACTAAAGTTGGCTTTTAAACAGAAGGAATATGACAACCACAATATCCAATGTCAATCAAGTTGATAAACTCATCTCCAAAATGTTCAAGGTCAAAATTCTTTTCACTTATTTCCATTTACTATATATTTAACTATAGAAAACAAAGAAAATCCAGTTTTCTTCTGGTCCACAATATGTTCACTCAGTAATTACAGAATTATGGTGTGTATTCAATTTAAGGAGCTTCCTTTTAAACTCTACGAACTTCATGTTGCACTTGGGTTTATTTTATGTCCAGCTGTTATGTTTCTGCTCTGTCCCATGGAAGCCTGCTACTTCAGAAACTCAGTTGATGCCAAATTAAAAATTCTTAAAACAATATCAAGTATACTTAATCAACAAAGCTACAAACATTATTAGTTGGGCATCAAAGCAGTAAAAAACAGGCAGGCATGCAGGTCTGCCCTTATACTCTTCTCAGTGATTCAGAATTAGTAGAACATTGCAGGATACTGCAAACCAACCTCGTAGTAGAAAACTGTAAATCAAATTACTCAGTCACATGAGAGAGGGGCCCTTTAGTCCTAACATATTCCTACCTTGCCTTTTGAGAGGCAGCAAATACTACAACTGATAACAGCAATATTTTTAATCAAGGTAGAGCAGACCTTGCAGTCCACTTGGGGAAGAAAACAACTTAGCATCTATATTACTATTACCCAAAACATGACAAATAGTGTCACTCATAGTAATAGTTACAGTGGTGCCTCGCTAGATGATGATAATCCATTCCACTGAAATCGCTGTTTAGCAAAATAATTGTCTAGTGGAAAGCATTTCCCCATTGGAATGCATTGAAACCTGTTCAATGCGTTCCAATGGGGAAGAATCGTCGTTGTCTAGCGAAGATCGGCCATAGGAAAGCCACTTTGCGAACCGCCGATCAGCTGTTTAAATCGCTGTCTCGTGAAGCTTAGGTCCTGAAAACACCTGTTTGCAAACGAAGAGGGAGCTGTCAAAAATGTCATTTAGCGAAAATTGGTTTGCGAAGCAAGGACCAAACACTGTCCAGTGAAATTCTCCCATAGGAATCACTGTTTTGCGGATCGCTATAGTGATCGCAAAAAGCCAATGTCTAGCGAAAAAACTGTCATGCGGGATAACTGTCTAGCGAGGCACCACTGTATTGCCTTCTGAGAATATGAAAGTTGATTATGCTCAGAATAATTTTACCTTCACAGCTGGATGTGTTACAAGTTACAATCAAGAGTTATTTGTATGATTCTGCAAAACACAATTTCCAATTATTATCAAAGATAAGAGTGCAAAATGAATAGGCTCTTAGTAAAAATCCTGCACATATTGGAAATGTGTGTTGCCACCTCATGGGAAGGGAAAGCACAGATTTAAAAACTTAAAATGAAAAATGTGGAGGGACATGTCCTATTTTTAAACAAGTATTCATGTAGGCATTTGGAGGTTAGGGTTATTTGGTTCAGAAGGCTAGATAAACACTCCTATACTCAGCAGAGCATGATAAAAGTTTACGTTTCAAGAAGTACACATGAAGGATGAAAGCATGCTGGGAAAAAATTGTTGTCCATCAGAAATGTGCATACACTATCCAAGTAAGTGCTTACAACACATGCTAAGGAACCACTAGTGGGAGAAAGGCAGTTTGATTCCCCATCACCACAAAAATGGTTTTCTGTTGTTAAAGAGATATCACTTTCTCACAAAAAAACTTGTACATTGAGAAAAAACACCCACACTCGTAACTACTTAAGAAAAAAAAAACTGAGGCTGTTTTTTTAAACTGGTTTTTTTAAACCAGCACAGTTATGTGGGAAGGGCCTGGTGTTCTATTACCAGCTTTGGCACATGTGCTTCCTTGAAGATAAAATGTTCAAAAGCAGTTATTACTACAGCTGTAAGGACTGAACAAGTAATGTATCACTGATGTTAGCAGGGTCAACAACATAAAGGTAGGAATACGCAAAAGTTAGAAGTGCAAAAGGCGGGGAATTCTTCCTACTCACACCTTTAAGTTGCTAAGTAGCAAGCGTTTTTGATTAATGCTTATTTGCTGAGCTGCTGGGAAACACAAAGTATAGGAATAAAGCACCTCCTGAGCAGTATTCAAAAACAATGTTACCTTGGAAGGAGGACAATAATATAGTAACACATTCTTAAGATACTATATAGAAAGGCCAGACAAGAGAATTAGGCCTCAAGGTTTAAGATTACAAATCCACCCACACTCTGGGTGTGCACTTTAGACAGAGAATGCAGTAAAGCTATAGTGGCAAGTAGTGTTATATGATAGTGCATACATTCCCTCATACTTTCATAGAAATAGGCTTTTTTAACTAAATGCTTAGGAAAGAAAGATTTTTAACTTGAGCTGGACACCCTGTAGCCCTAAAAAATAGTGATCAGTGAACTGATGGGAATTTGAGTCAAACAAGATCTAGAGGGCTGCCTGTTGGATTTGGACCAAACCTAGAACATGAAGAGAAACACGAAGAGAAAGCAAGCACAGCAGCAATGTTATTACTACTATAAGCTTGTAATATATGTACTATCTACACACAGACTGTACTACTACACACGTACAAACAGTATTGTCATAAGATAACAAAGAAAACATCAGCTTATCTAGCAGACTGGACATTTTTTTTACACAAAGGTTTTATTCCAATACTGTTTCCTCAGCGCTACTAATATCTGCACTCTCCATGGACAACACCGATCTTAACAAGACGGAAAAGCTGAGCAAAGGGGACCGTTCTGAGCAGCAGGAAGAAAACGAAAGGCGTGTCTGGCTGGCCCTTTCACTTTCCAGTGAAAACAAGTCAACGCCACCGTCGCTATGCTCTTGAAAAGAGAGATGATAAACCGGCTCCTTGGGGAGGCTTACACGTCCTTGAGTTTCAACACCGGGCTCCGCTCCCTGCCAGACACCCCCCCCCAAAAAAAACTGTGCTGTTTCCAAAGGAGCAAAGGCAAGGGGTTACTCGGCGCTCTCCTTCGGAAAGCCGTCTGGGGGGGGGAACCCCAAAAGAAGAGAAGCCCTTTTCTTTTCCACCCGGGGGCTTCCGAGCGAGCACAGCCCCGAAGGCCAGCAGAGCTCTGGGCAGGCCGAGAGCAGGAATGGCGCTCAGGTGAG